CATGAGGTGTCCAGCATCGTCCCTGTTTACATTCATCTCGGTTGCAAGCGTTTTTGTGTTCTCTGATTCTAGTATCCAGATATCTGGATCAGGAAACCGAGATGACCGTACAAACGCGTGTGTTCAACACAGGGACGATATTGAGCACCTCGTGAAATTCAATGAGGTTGGATTAGTCAGTAAAAAAGATTTAAGATGGCAAAAGGGTATAGAGGCTGCCCTAATTGCTGTCCTGAACTGTACATAGGTGTCATTTTACTCAGGAATACTATCCGTTTGCTATATTATACTTACATCTGGGCCACACTCCTCTAAATTATAGGATGGAATGTAATTTATCCAGTAAGGAGGATTATCTCCAATGTCATCTAGGGAGACCAATATGGTCTGGATCACTGATTTAAGAGTCTTTCTCCCATCAGTACTCTGGGGGAGAAGAAAAACAGCAATAAGGAATGGGGCACATTAATGGGGAATAATAATAATAATCCATCAATAAGTCTTCCCCTTCCCTGCTATCCTTTACGAAATAAACAATAAGTGAAGTAGACATCAACAAAGAGGTTAGTGAATTTACTGCTTTGAAATTATAAGCAAAACTGTTACATACTGCAGTAACTCACCGATATACACAGAGCACAGAAAGTACATAAACAAGACTTACAATAATGTTGAAAGTCAGTTGGTAGAACATAAGTTCCTCGTAATCCAGAGGTTGAGAGTTCTTCAGAATGAACGTCATCCCCTTATTAGCATCATATTCCTTCTCCATTGAGAACTTGTCGGAATATTGAATTGAAGTCTGAAATTGGTAATATGAGAATTTTAGTTAAAATCTGAAATGGGAGATATGAGATATGAGAATTTTTTTTAGTTAAAATCTGAAATGGGAGATATGAGTTTATTTTTTAACTGATGATTGATTCCGGGTTCATCGGTTTTGAATCAAAGAGGCTACGACTGGCTAGGTAACATTTTTATAATGTAGCCCTTTATCATGCTTATCATTTATATTCCTTCCTGTACCCCCCTGTCCTGTACCACTTGTGTACCACTGTTTTGTACCCCTCTCCTGTACCACTATTATGTACCACTGTCCTGTACCTCTTTCATGTACCACTGTTGTGTACCACTGTCCTGTACTACTGTCCTGTACCCCTCTCGTGTACCACTGTTGTGTACCCTTGTGAGGTCCATAACATAGTTGAACACTCCCTGCCTCTCAGTGTACTCACAGTATACAGGTCTGTCTACTCAACATTAATTATTGGTGGTCGTCTTCTGTTATACCTATCATCTCCCTCCAGTATGTAAGTCTCCATCTTCATAGTTCTGCTTCAGATTTAACAAGACTGAGGGACTGAACACCTGTAAGGCTGTGGGATTGAACACCTATCAAGACTGAGGACTGAACCCCTCCGTCAAGACTGAGGGATTAAATCTCTCCTATCAAGATTGATAACCTCAAAAATGACCTCTCCACCACTCCCACCGTCTCTATTCTCTGTAATGGGCTGAAACAACCATTGGGTGGCCAAACGTGTCCAACCAATATGTCTTATTCATCATGTTTCCCCGCAATCTAGACTCTCATCCGTCACCGAAGTAAGCCTCTTGAATCAGGATCAGAAAAGATATTATTCGGATTTTTAACCCCGGAAGGTTAGCCACCCAGGATAACCCAATTTCCATTGGGGTCCTCAATCTTGTGGTCCCCAGGTTGGTATCCACACCACTCGAATAACACCCAGGTACCCATTTACATGCTAGGTGAAAGGGACAGCAGGTGTAAGGAAACACGCCCATTGTTTCCACCTTTTTCCGGGGATCGAACCATGGACACTTCGCGTGTGAAGTGAGAGCGTTGCCTACCAGGCCACGGGGCACATGGATCATTGTTTAAAACTTTAAATTAATATTTGAGATGCTTATACTCGCCTAAATGGCATCCTGGGAATGGGGGGAGTTGAGGTAGTAGACTATAGAGTCACAGAACTGTATTTTGGGAAGAACCGAGTTGTCAACAGCTCTTAGCCTCTAAATAAACTGAGGTAGGATAACTGTTCACTTAACGCCACTTACCATTACCCAGTCTAACTGTTCAGTTTCTCCCCAGTCATTATCTGTGTATGTTACAGTGGCAATAGTTGCTGGCGCCTCTTCCTGAAATGGGGAAAGATTGGATAGATTGTACAGATTTGATAGATTGAATATATTGAACAGATTGTACAAACTGAATATATTGAACGGATTGTACACATTGGATCTATTAGACAGATTAGATACATTGGACAGATTAGTTAGATTGGACAGGTTTTAGTTCAGATTTGATTTTTTAATTATTTTTATATTTTGATAGGGAAATTCCAAGCAAGAAAGGTAATATCAGGAAAATTCGAGAATCAAAAACATGATTTTGAGTGTCTAAGTTCTCTACTAGTCTGTCAGGTTTCAAGCCTATCACGTACACGAGGGTCGTTAATTAAATGATGTACGCAACGTGTACAACAGTCAAGAATACTTATCTCGGGTTTCTAAACCTGTATTTAGGAAACTACGAATAAAATTTAAATGGCAATTTTAGGAAATAATTATTTTCAGTAATTTAATCAGAAACATTTAACTTTGTCGTAGAAAATAAAAATAAGTGCTGAAAAAAATCTCACCTCGTTGACGCGAATTTCAAAAGTTTGACCTTGATCCACGGGAGTGGGGTTAAATTCATTGACATCCAGAACGTTAAATATAATGAAGGTCGTATCACCAATTACGATGTCATCACAGTGTCTTATGTAGACATTATCTGCCTCAGCGTCGAAGGTTTTTTTGAGGTACAGTGTCTTATCAGTTACTGAGAGATACTCACACGACCCCACACTCACTGTCTCTGAACCTGTAAGAGTGACATATATTTACATGTATGTGAGAGTCGAGTTACTGGTAAACCATACTTGAGGAGACATAATAACACGACTGTTAGCGAACCACAGAACGCGTGGGACTCGAACCCACATTAGGGAGGTCCTAGAACTCTCAGGCCAGGGTGTTTACCACTATACCATGCCGTCCTATTAGACAATATTTCTACAAGTACATGTACAAGGTATACAAACTATAGCTGACCTCAGTGACATACTATACGGAAAGTACCTTCTTATGTAGAGCATTTCGGGCAAATTAGGTCAGTTATGTTTCCAGGATGCGACCCACAGCAGTCGGCTAACAACCAGACATCTATTTACTGCTAGGTGAACAGGGACAGCAGGTACCTTAAGGGAACACGTCCTTATATTTCCACACGTACCCCATGTAACAATGGTACAATGAACAACAAACAAAGAAATAGCCGTTACCATTATCCCTTATGTTTAATAGAAATGTTTAGAAAATAACGAAGATAAAGTGCACTACCAGATACGAAATAACAGCAATTAACGAACGGCACTTCAGAGACAAAATTAATTTAGGACGTATAAACAACTTTAATAATAATAATAATAATAATAATAATAATAATAATAATAATAATAATAATAATAATAATAATAAATAATAATAATAATAATCGTAGAACTGAGCTATTACAAGTCTCTGAAGATGTGACTAGATAAAAAAATCTTACGAACCATTGTAAGTGATGAGTTTATCGCCAGACTGACAGTCTTCCCATATGTCAAGACTGTTGCCCTGAGAGGAGCACAGTATGTCCTGGACACAGTCACTGTTGACCCAGGAGACCCATTGACACTCACCCTCAGCACCACCCACCATCATCACCACCACCACCAACATTGTCGCTCCCACCTGCAACAAAGGGGAGACGGGAAATCATGCTTATTACCTTCAGTCAACACCATCACCAAGACCCGCGTCAGGAAACACTTGTCCTGTTTCATGACAAACCTCACCTACACCTACCTACCTACCTACCTACCCACATACTAGCATTGTCTCTCCCACCTGTAACACAGGAAAAATAAATAGTAATTATTTTGTAAGAAGCACGCCGTTCAGTTTTTAAAAGCCTTCCAGATGGGTTACTTTTAATACTAGTGAAGGAACAGTACTGATGTCAGAACTCTGACCTTCTCTTGCCTTAGGTCAACCCTCATAACATCCCATTTATCAGACCCTGTATGACCCCTAGCGGCTTAGCGCCTCCTCGCGTATATATAATAATACTAGTAGTAATAATAACAGTAATAATAATAATCATAGTAATAATAGTAGTAATAGTAGTAATAATAATAACAGTAACAATAAAAACTCATAATAACAGACATGGGTTAAGATTTATATCTACAATATCTGACTCATCCCATCTTAGTTGTACTTAAAATGATCCTCAGTATTTTTAGTTCGTCTATGATTTCAAGATTAATGTATCTGAGATACCAAACTGAAGAGCTTTGTACATGGAAAAAATCATCCTTTTGATCGTCGGTGGAATATTTTTGGTATATAAAAGAACTTTGGGCCAGACGTGCTGGAGAATAAATTTCATTGCGCGAGAGGATCGTCAACAAGAGAGAAAAACAAGAAAGGTTGTCTGTATGTTTCGACCTCCAGCTGGTGTCTTTTTCAGTGTATATGAACAAATATATATATGTATACACACACACACACACACACACATTTGCAAAGGTACTTACCCAACGATAGGACATCATAATGTGAGTTGTTCCCCGAAAGAGGCGTCACCTGTGTCCAAGCAACCTTTAGGCAGACACACACCTGTGTCCGAGCAACCTTCAGGCAGAGACACACCTGTGTCCGAGCAACCTTCAGGCAGAAACACACCTGTGTCCGAGCAACCTTCAGGCAGAAACACACCTGTGTCCAACCAGCCTTTAGGCTGAGACACGCACACACCTCACTAGTCTCGCTATCTAACAACACAAGTGCGTAAAGTGTTCTAGCACATCAGTGCTAGACAACACAAGTGTCGCTACTACCAGCACTCTCCACACTGTTGTAGGTGGTGACGAAGAGAAACCAGCTGCACCACCTACCGTTATCACCCCAAGATAACGTAACAGTTCCCCGAAAGCTTTTACTTTGGCAGTGGTTATCGCCGATCCGAATGGCCGACCTCTCACCTCTCATTTATGTTTATAATAAATACGTCATGACTTCAACAGGGGTGAAATAATTTTTATTCTTGACAAATAATATAGGAATTCCCACCCACAGTTAATTATAAAGAATATTTTGAGATGCAGAAGCAAGCTGATAAATAATATTACAAAATAACGGAATCTATCTGATAAGATACCCAATGAGTCCAGCAGTGATGTGATGGCTGCGCTATGCAAGTATGTAGCAGGCAATACAAGCTACAAGCAGGCGATGTAAGCTACAAGCAGGTAATTTAAGCTACAAGGAGGCAATGTAAGCTACAAGCAGGTAATGTAAGCTACAAGTAGGCGATGTAAGCTACATGCAGGTAATTAAAGCTACAAGGAGGCAATGTAAGCTACAAGCAGGTAATTAAAGCTACAAGCAGGTAATGTAAGCTACAAGCAGACAATGAAAGCTACAAGCAGGCAATGTAAGCTACAAGCAGGTAATGTAAGCTACAAGCAATGTAAGCTACAAGCAGGCAATGTAAGCTACAAGCAGGTAATGTAAGCTACAAGCAATGTAAGCTACAAGCAGGCAATGTAAGCTACAAGCAGGCAATGTAAGCTACAAGCAGGTAATGTAAGCTACAAGCAATGTAAGCTACAAGCAGGCAATGTAAGCTACAAGCAGACAATGCAAGCTACAAGCAGGCAATGCAAGCTACAAGCAGACAATGCAAGCTACAAGCAGGTAATGTAAGCTACAAGCAGGCAATGTAAGCTACAAGCAGACAATGCAAGCTACAGCAGGCAATGCAAGCTACAAGCGCAATGCAAGCTACAAGCAGACAATGCAAGCTACAAGCAGACAATGCAAGCTACAAGCAGGTAATGTAAGCTACAAGCAGGCAATGTAAGCTACAAGCAGACAATGCAAGCTACAAGCAGGCAATGCAAGCTACAAGCAGGCAATGCAAGCTACAAGCAGACAATGCAAGCTACAAGCAGACAATGCAAGCTACAAGCAGGTAATGTAAGCTACAAGCAGGCAATGTAAGCTACAAGCAGGTAATGTAAGCTACAAGCAGGTAATGTAAGCTACAAGCAGGTAATGTAAGCTACAAGCAGGCAATGTAAGCTACAAGCAGGTAATGTAAGTACAAGCAGGCAATGTAAGCTACAAGCAGGTAATGTAAGCTACAAGCAGGCAATGTAAGCTACAAGCAGGCAATGTAAGCTACAAGCAGGTAATGTATGCTACAAGCAGGCAGTGTAAGCTACAAGCAGGCAATGTAAGCTACAAGCAGGTAATGTAAGCTACAAGCAGGCAATGTAAGCTACAAGCAGGTAATGTAAGCTACAAGCAGGCAATGTAAGCTACAAGCAGGTAATGTAAGCTACAAGCAGGCAATGTAACTACAAGCAGGCAAGTACTAAAGCAGGTAATGTAAGCTACAAGCAGGCAATGTAAGCTACAAGCAGGCAATGTAAGCTACAAGCAGGTAATGTATGCTACAAGCAGGCAGTGTAAGCTACAAGCACGCAAAACAAGCTACAAGCAGGCAATACAAGCATACAATACAAGCTACAAGCACGCAATACAAGCAGACAATGCAAACTACAAGCATGTAATACAAGCTACAAGCAGGTAACGCAAGCTACAAGCACGCACCCCTCAAGGAAGGTTCCTTGTTGTTGGTGAGGGGCTCTTGATTTAGGGAATTGGATCTGTGCTCCAGTTCCCCGAATTAAGCCTGAATGCCTTCCACATTCCCCCCCCCCCCCAGGCGCTGTATAATTCTACGGGTTTAGCGCTTCCCCTTGATTATAATAATACAAGCACGCAATACAAGCTACAAGCACGTAATGTAAGCTACAAGCACGCAATACAAGCTACAAGCACGTAATGCAAGCTACAAGCACGCAATGCAAGCTACAAGCACGCAATGCAAGCTACAAGCACGTAATGCAAGCTACAAGCACGTAATGCAAGCTACAAGCACGTAATGCAAGCTACAAGCACGCAATGCAAGCTACAAGCACGCAATGCAAGCTACAAGCACGTAATGCAAGCTACAAGCACGTAATGCAAGCTACAAGCACGCAATACAAGCTACAAGCACGCAATGCAAGCTACAAGCACGCAATGCAAGCTACAAGCACGCAATGCAAGCTACAAGCACGCAATGCAAGCTATAAGCACGCAATGCAAGCTACAGCAGCATGCAAGCATAAGCACGTAAGCAACTACAAGCACGCAATAGCAAGCTACAAGCACGCAATGCAAGCTACAAGCACGCAATGCAAGCTACAAGCACGCAATGCAAGCTATAAGCACGCAATGCAAGCTATAAGCATGCAATGCAAGCTACAAGAATGCTCTACCAGCTAAGAGCGTGTTGCATAAGCTAAGAGAATATTGTACAAGCCAAGAGCTAAGAACGTGCTGTGTAAGCTAAGAACGTGCTGTACAAGCTAAAAGCGTGTTGTATAAGCTAGAAGCGTGTTGTACAAGCTAAGAGCGTGTTGTGCAAGCAATAAACTCACTCCACAACCCATAAGTAGGCGGTAGCAGCTATAAACGTGATGTGTTAGCTTAAAGAAGGCTGATCCAGTTGTCAGCACTGCACGAGTACGTTGCATAACCTTTTGACTTGCTGCACACACTGTGAGCACAGGGGCCAGGAGCTGTGACTCGACCCCTGCAACCACAAACAGGTGAGTACTGTAAGATCTGTATGTGTGCCTTATACCTCAAGTGTGTTTGTATTAGTATGTGTATGTATTTGTAGTATGTATGTATGTATGATTATATATATATATATATATATATATATATATATATATATATATATATATATATATATATATATATATTATATAAATATATATAATATATATGGAGGATAGATGGGCTAATGAGAGCATAGGCAATGGGGTCGAAGAGGTATGGGGTAGGTTTAAAAATGTAGTGTTAGAGTGTTCAGCAGAAGTTTGTGGTTACAGGAAAGTGGGTGCGGGAGGGAAGAGGAGCGATTTGATGATGTAAAGAGAGTAGTAAGGGAGAAAAAGTTAGCATATGAGAAGTTTTTACAAAGTAGAAGTGATGCAAGGAGGGAAGAGTATATGGAGAAAAAGAGAGAGGTTAAGAGAGTGGTGAAGCAATGTAAAAAGAGAGCAAATGAGAGAGTAGGTGAGATGTTATCAACAAATTTTGTTGAAAATAAGAAAAAGTTTTGGAGCGAGATTAACAAGTTAAGGAAGCCTAGAGAACAAATGGATTTGTCAGTTAAAAATAGGAGAGGAGAGTTATTAAATGGAGAGTTAGAGGTATTGGGAAGATGGAGGGAATATTTTGAGGAATTGTTAAATGTTGATGAAGATAGGGAAGCTGTGATTTCGTGTATAGGGCAAGGAGGAATAACATCTTGTAGGAGTGAGGAAGAGCCAGTTGTGAGTGTGGGGGAAGTTCGTGAGGCAGTAGGTAAAATGAAAGGGGGTAAGGCAGCCGGGATTGATGGGATAAAGATAGAAATGTTAAAAGCAGGTGGGGATATAGTTTTGGAGTGGTTGGTGCAATTATTTAATAAATGTATGGAAGAAGGTAAGGTATCTAGGGATTGGCAGAGAGCATGCATAGTTCTTTGTATAAAGGCAAAGGGGACAAAAGAGTGCAAAAATTATAGGGGGATAAGTCTGTTGAGTATGCCTGGTAAAGTGTATGGTAGAGTTATTATTGAAAGAATTAAGAGTAAGACGGAGAATAGGATAGCAGATGAACAAGGAGGCTTTAGGAAAGGTAGGGGGTGTGTGGACCAGGTGTTTACAGTGAAACACATAAGTGAACAGTATTTAGATAAGGCTAAAGAGGTCTTTGTGGCATTTATGGATTTGGAAAATGCGTATGACAGGGTGGATAGGGGGGCAATGTGGCAGATGTTGCAGGTGTATGGTGTAGGAGGTAGGTTACTGAAAGCAGTGAAGAGTTTTTACGAGGATAGTGAGGCTCAAGTTAGAGTATGTAGGAAAGAGGGAGATTATTTCCCAGTAAAAGTAGGCCTTAGACAAGGATGTGTGATGTCACCGTGGTTGTTTAATATATTTATAGATGGGGTTGTAAGAGAAGTAAATGTGAGGGTCTTGGCAAGAGGCGTGGAATTAAAAGATAAAGAATCACACAAAGTGGGAGTTTTCACAGTTGCTCTTTGCTGATGACACTGTGCTCTTGGGAGATTCTGAAGAGAAGTTGCAGAGATTGGTGGATGAATTTGGTAGGGTATGCAAAAAGAAAATTAAAAGTGAATACAGGAAAAAGTAAGGTTATGAGGATAACAAAAAGATTAGATGATGAAAGATTGGATATCAGATTGGAGGGAGAGAGTATGGAGGAGGTGAATGTATTCAGATATTTGGGAGTGGACGTGTCAGCGGATGGGTCTATGAAAGATGAGGTGAATCATAGAATTGATGAGGGGAAAAGGGTGAGTGGTGCACTTAGGAGTCTCTGGAGACAAAGAACTTTGTCCTTGGAGGCAAAGAGGGGAATGTATGAGAGTATAGTTTTACCAATGCTCTTATATGGGTGTGAAGCATGGGTGATGAATGTTGCAGCAAGGAGAAGGCTGGAGGCAGTGGAGATGTTATGTCTGAGGGCAATGTGTGGTGTGAATATAATGCAGAGAATTCATAGTTTGGAAGTTAGGAGGTGCAGGATTACCAAAACTGTTGTCCAGAGGGCTGAGGAAGGGTTGTTGAGATTACCAAAACTGTTGTCCAGAGGGCTGAGGAAAGGTTGTTGAGGTGGTTCGAACATGTAGAGAGAATGGAGCGAAACAGAATGACTTCAAGAGCGTATCAGTCTGTAGTGGAAGGAAGGCAGGGTAGGGGTCGGCCTAGGAAAGGTTGGAGGGAGGGGGTAAAGGAGGTTTTGTGTGCGA